TCCAGTGATGGAGCACCTACAAGGTCTGGAGTCACTTCTGGAGACACGCCTCTTGGTTTGGAATTCTTTTTTTAAAAAAGGTACTTTTAGTGTGTTATTCAAATACCATGCGATTGATTGTTCTGTTAGGAAATTCTCCCTGAGTGCTGGGTTGAACCCGTCCCTCCCTCCTTCCCTCCCTTCACCTCACCTGGAACTTCATGGAGCTGAGCTTGTACATGATGTCGCCCAGGTTCTCCCGTATGGCGGCCCAGGTGATCTTGTGCTCCGATTGGGCTGTGGACTCCACGGCGTGGCGGGCCAGCTCATAAAAAGTGATCATGTTCTGTAGCATGCCCACCGTCTTGTAGAAAGGGCAGAACCTGAAGCAGATAACAGATCATCAGAGCTGGAAAGGACCTTGGAGGTCATCTAGTCCAACCCACGGCCCAAGCAGGAGACCCTACACCATTTCTGACAGATGGCAGCCGGGTCTCTTCTTGAAAGCCTCCAAAGATGAAGCTCCCATAACTTCTGCAGGCAACTTCTGTTCCAAGGGTGGATTGTTCTCCCTGTCAGAAAATTCCTCCTTATTTCCAGGTTGAATCTCCCCTTGGTCAGTTTCCATCTATTATTTCTTGTCTGGCCTTCAGGTGCCTTGGAGAATAGCTTGACCCCTTCCTCTTCTCTGGGGCAGCCCCTCAAATATTGGAAGGCTGCTATCATGTCTTCCCCTGGTCCTTCTCTTCCCTAGCCAAGAGATCCAAGGACACTCACCCCACCTCATCTTTCCTGGGAGAGCTTTGGGACAGTCACTGCCCCAGACCTTCAACTCTCCAGGGAGGGGAAAAATCAACAACCAGATTTTTCTCTTGTATGATTGTTTTCCAAAAGAAACAAGAAGGCAAAGAAAAATTCCAAGGAGGAGGGAGAATAGGTAGATCCTTCCAATTAGTCAATGATTATCTAAATATGACAAATTTTATCCACGATACAATAACAGATCAGTGAAATATAGGAAATAGGTTTACAGAAATAAGCATGCTAGGAAGAGGAGCGTTCTAGTAATAGAGATATTATGTATGTTAACAAGATAAGAATAAGACAAAAGTAGAAAATTAATACCAAAGTAATGAACATGGATGTAAATTTTAATTGTTGTTGCACAACAAGTCATCTGTACCCAGGCGACACTCCATTAAATGGAAGAGGAATTGTATGTACCTTAAATAAAATATTTTTTTATAAATAATAATAACAACGACAACTGACTACTTAGAACACCATAACCGAGTTGCTAAAACCATTCACTGGAAACTGTGCCAAAAGTTTGGATTTGAGTATAGTAACAACTACTAGGAACATCAGGTTGAGAAGGTTCTGGAGAATGAAAAAGTCAAGATCTTGTGGGACTTCAGAATTCAGACGGACAGGGATTTGGCCCACAACACACCTGACAGAACAACAGTTGAAAAGAAAAAGGTTTGGTTCACTGACATTGCAGCACCTGGTGATGCACGAACTGTAGACACGCAGCAAGAAAAAAAATCACAAAGTATCGGGAATTACAAATGGAAGTTGAGCAACTTTGGAAAAAGAAATCCCAAATTGTAATTGGAGCCCTTGGAGCAATACTGAAAGAGGAAGACCTGCCTGTTTGGAAATCCTGAATTTATTCTACAAAAAAACACCCTACGTGGAACAGCTCATATCCTACGATGCTACTTGAACAGTTCCTAGGCTGTGAATCTCACTAAAGATTAAACAACAACAACAACAAGGAGGAGAAGGAGGAGGAGGAGGAAAAGAAGAAGGACAAGGAGGAGGAGGAGGAGGAG